ACCACCATGAATTAAATACCTGACCAGTGAGACTCCCAAACAAACCAGTAATAAACTGACTAGGAATGAATCACTTGGGGTGTTTGTTAGATATATAGATTAGGCTCTACCCTGAAATTTTGATTTGGCAGGCTAGGTAGGGCCTTGGGATATATACATTTGCTTGTTTTAATTTTCCAGGTCATTCTGATTGATACCTACATTTGTGAATGACTAACAATTTCTCTAAATTTCAGTTTACACACAAGTCAATCACTGGTAATAATAATAGCTCAGCAGGTTACATGAAAAAGGTTAAATGAAAAAGTATATAATATGCACAGTTTGCCTGATGCAGAGAAAGCACTCAGTAAGTTTTAGCTACTACTGACACCCAAAAAGCAATTGCCAGGTATCACAATATTCCTAAGAGGAAAACTCTTCATTGTACTTTCAGGTTTTATATTTTTAATTACTCGGACAAAAATAACATGTGCCCTGGCAACAAGTCAAACAACAGAGATATATAATAGAAATACTATAACTGACCCTCTACCTGCTCCAATCATACACCCCTGAGATAAGCAATGTGAACAGTGTAATGTGTATACTTTCACACACTTCACAGTCTATACATAGCATATGCCTGTGCACATACACACCCACATTCCTCTGCACCCTGCATGATAAATGACAGAGCCATCCTTCTGGATCTTTTTAAAGGTGCATTAGAGGACTTCTGTTACTTTCTCCTGCTCAGAATCCATTTTTCCTCATTCTGATATCGGCAATCCAATTTCCCTTTGGGAAACCCTGCTCCCATCCCCCCACCCCTTTTAGTTCATGCAGTTCAAGCTGGCTTCACCACTGAGCTCCAGATATGGGCACATAATTCGGGCATAGACAACCAAGAAATTCCATTCCCCTTGCCATAGCAAAAGCCTCAGAAATTGGCAGGTGACTCAGGCCAATGAGACCAGTACTTCTGCTGTTACTACTGGGAAAGAAGTGTTTTTCCACTGGGTTGTTAAGCTGGGAGAACACAAACCATCCCTGGCTATAGCTTAGGAAGAGCTGCCTGGGAATAAAATCAACACAAAGAAAGCAGAGTCGAGACACAGAGAAGACAGATGTTCTCCAGATGACACTGTTCAAAGCTCTGCATGTAGTCATGCAAGAAGCCAGTCCATCTCTTGATCTTCTTGGGTACATGTGGCAATTGATATCTTTCCTGATTTACACAAGTTTAAATTTCATTTCTATCACTTGTAACAAGCAAACTAGACTTAACACATTGCATATTATTCCATAATAGAGATGTATCATTATTTATTCAACAATTTCCTTTTGATACACAGTTATATTATTTTCAGTTTTTTGCCACTATAAACAATGCTGCAACAACTGTCCTTATATTTATGGTACTTTAACTATTACAGGCTAGGAGCAAAAGTGTATAGGAGGGAATAGCAGGAAAAGATTAAAAACTAAATTAGGTCAGAATTATGGAGCACCCAGCATGCCTGACTTTATACGAACCTGGACTTTACATGGGGACTCTATTTAACAAATGGAGAGAGACAAGATTAGATCTGAACGGGAAACTGCCTCCAGAAGCAACGTTCAGATGACCTGGAAGTAGCCTGTCAATACAGGGGACACGGGTTCGAGCCCTGGCCCAGGAAGATCCCACATGCCACAGAGCAACTAAGCCCGTGTGCCACAACTACTGAGCCTGGGCTCTAGAGCCCGCGTGCCACAACTACTGAAGCCTGTGCGCCTAGAGCCCATGCTCTGCAACGAGAAGCCACTGCAGTGAGAAGCCTGTGCACTGCAATGAAGAGTAGCCCCTGCTCGCTGCAACTGGAGAAAGCCTGTGCGCAGCAACGAAGACCCAATGCAACCATGAATGAATGAATGAATGAATGAATAAAAAGATGACCTGGAAGTAGTTATGTGGGGTTTAGGGAGTAGGAGAATAATGCTGCATTAGTACAGGTTAAAGCTAATAAGAGAGTCTCACTAATGGCAGTGGGGGAGAAATGAATTCAAAAGACATTTCCAAAGTACCAAAAAGTAATATTAAACCATTAAGACTCAATTCAAAAAAAAATTAAAACACAGGACAGCCCCTGATAAAGGAATAGCACTAGGAGGTTATTCTGAATCACATGACTGCTAGGCTAGGAGCAAGTACTTGACTTAGGGGCAGCCAGAAATCTACTGGCTGGCCAGCATAGAGCATTAAGGGCTTTGCCAAACAGGTATTTTTAGCTGAACATGTCCTCCTTCTGGAATTTGAAGTGTGCAGTGTTGAGGTAATGAAGGATGGACTAGATGGGGCTAAAACTGAAGAAATACAGAAAGAGAAAAATCATGAGGTAGAGTTGAACGTGAAGCCAAGAGAGAATTAGCACAAGCTGGTTCCAGGACTGACAGACATCTAAGTTCTGTCTACATCTGGGCAGGCCCTGCTCTAATTCATGTTTTTCCTGAGGCCTATCTTCTTGAGAAAGTAAGAATGACTTCTTTGTAATAACAGGGCCCTGACTAAAACTGCCTAATTGATGAGCCTAGATCACACAACTAAAATCAGACATGGTGATTGATAACGAGGAGGATAAAAGAAAGAGGGAAGAATTTTAAATGATTAGCGTTTCTAGAGTGAGAAGGGATGGTGATGCCACTGAGAAAGGGAGTATGGTGTGAAGAAGAAGTTGATTTGAATATACACTGAATTAAATTCTGGGCATTTCAAGTGCGAAATGTCTGTGAAGTATCTGTAAGGAGACCGGTCCACAGCTCAAAAGACATAAACTAATACGTGGTAGAGTCTAAGCCACAAAAACAAAGGAATATAGAAAAGTCAAACCTGAGTGTTCTCTGACAAAGTTGGCTGAGTTACTACCTTCCCCTGCTTTTGTATACAGTGGAGGAACTGGGCCTCTCTCTACTCTGAGCTATCATGTGCTCATCTGTCCTGGACCTGAAGCTTCACACCAGGTGACAATGAAGGCCAGGAGGCACTCTCGTAGGTCTAAGTAAGAAACTGAAACATCTGAAAGTCTGAAATTAGTAAAGTCATATCCCAAAACAAAAACAACAAAAAAGAAAACCTCAAATATACTCTGTACAGAACTTTATAGGTCACAAAATACTTTATGGGGGATGTAGGCAGGATAGTTTTTATAGGCATCTCCCCCTCTTTAACATATGAAGAAACAGATTCGTAAAAATTAACTTATCTAAGAAGCAGCAGGGCTGGGAATCCTTAGCATTCTCAAGTCACCATATTATATACGTTTCTTGGAAATCCCACTCATTTAATACCACAGAGGGTGTCTGCATCAGGCCCATGCTACTTTCCTTTTGGCCTGTATAGTACAGACCACTGCAGAGAATGAACACAATCTTACACTCTGATCCTGAAGAAAAAACTCAGCTTTGAGGTTTTCCAGAAATCTTTCTGACTTGTAAACTAACAAGAATTTAAAGTGTGTGTGGGGGGAGAGACACATGTCTTATCTACCTCTCTTACCAATGTCTCACTGTTAATTACTTTGACAAAATAGGGAAAATCAAAATACACTGGTGGGGCTTCCCTGGTGGCGCAGTGGTTGAGAGTCCGCCTACCGATGCAGGGGACACGGCTTCGTGCCCCAGTCCAGGGAGATCCCACATGGCGCGGAGCGGCTGGGCCCGTGAGCCATGGCCGCTGAGCCTGCGCGTCCGGAGCCTGTGCTCCGCAACGGGAGAGACCACAACGGTGAGAGGCCCGCGTACCGCAAAAAAAAAAAAAAAAAAATACACTGATGGTGTTAAAGATTGGGGATGGAATACAAATACGGTTCATCTCAAATTCAAAAGAAAATTAAAATCATCTTAGGCAATTTAGAAACAGCATCTGAGATAAAAGGTAGAGAGAAGACTTTCATGGGAAGGTGAAGAGATGTTATTCAGAGTTGTTAAAGAGAAGGGCTAAGGATAAATGCAAGTTTCTGTGCCCTCTTGATTCCCTAACACCCCAGTTCTTAGGACTTCTTGGTGTTAGCGCCACCTGAATTATCCCATTAACTGAGTTTCCCACCTCCCACCTTCCTTTTTGCACTCCTCTGCCACTACTTCTCAACCTCCATTTATTTCCTATACACTCTGCCAATTTTTTGCCATTCATGACCATTAAGTCAACTGACATAATTCCTCAATTTATGTTAAACTGAGGTAATTCAGAAAGATTAATTCCCAGAGCCTAGTGGAACAGCAGAACTAAGAGTAAACATAGTCCTTGAGATTCCAAAGCCAGTGGTCTCTCTATTATATCACACTGTCCCTAAGGGTCAATTACCATGAGTTTATGTCACACTAAATGGGAAGAAGTAAAACTGACTAATGTCACAGACAAGTTCTCAAAAGGAAGGCAGAATGAGGCAAGAAAGAAAAGACAATGGCAGAGAAAGCAATGCAAGCATTATACCTATTGTGAAGGAGGAGCACTGCCAGAAAGGTTTTCTAGGAACTAGCCTGGACTGAAAGACAGCATGAACAAATACAATCAATTTTTCAGGCTGTCACCTGTGCCATATCTTTTTAGAAATTTCCCATAGTGTCTCTGAATTATTTGTTAAATCACACAGCATATTACTAACAGTTCTCACTCAGACTCTTTCCGTTTAAAAAAAACTTTCTGAGTATCATGTTATGGATAGTATTTAATCAGAATACACCAGAAAATAAAAAATTGTGATTTTTTTTTTTTACTCTTGGTAATTAATTCATTGTAACGTGGTATAAAAAAATTGATGTAACAAAGAGAAGCCAATACGAAACAGGTAGTCTGAAAAGCAATTTCTAATGTACTGAGCGTCATTTAGGGACAAGATGGCTGTTTACCCAGCTACATTCTCCCAGAAAAACTTGTCTCCAATTCTAGTAAAATCAAATGGGAAAAACCAAACTTCCCGTCTCTCTACATTTGATATCATTTTATAAGCTCTGGTAAGATAAAACATAGTGTTTCTTACCTCCGTGCAACATAATAAAATATAGGATTCCCAGCTTTGGAAGTCCCAGCTTGGTAGAAAATACTTAAAGTTTTCAAAGCTTTGAACTCTTCTTTTTCGTGTACTTGATGCCTGAAAGAAAAAAAAGAATAGAGTAACTCATAGGCTTTACATTGTCCACTGAATATCTACAAAAATCCACAACTGCACCAATGATAAAATATACAAAATGACAAAATATTTTAAAAGCAACACGCTTTCTGAAGGGCAACATGGTTAACATGTACCAAAAAATTCAAGGTGTTGTTCTTTGAACCACAAACAGTGGTTCTTAGGATAATGTTAAGAAAACTACTGGACAGGGGTATTAACCATAGAATTGTTTTTAATCATTTTTCTTTCTAGACAGAAATCTTTGAGTTTTTACTTACTTGTTTGCTTTTTAAGAGTTCAGTTTATCAGCCTTTCCTTTCCTGGCTTACTGATTCTGAATGAGTGAGAAAGGCCCACATGTTCTTCTTTATGGGAATTTATCCTCACAAATAGCGTTATCTTTTTCCAGATGGTTACTTACTGATACAGTTGTACCAACACAATTTATTAAAAGTCCATTCTAATCTCCCTGATTCTGAATATCACTTTTATAATGATACTCTTTTATATATTTAAATATACTTCCAAAAAAGGCATAGTTTAATTTTTGTATATTCTGCTCAGTACTCAGTGTGTGTCTTTAACCTGAAGATTTATGTCATTAAACAACCCTGGAAAATTCTCATTTGTTGTCTTTCATATATTACCTCCTCACTATTCTCTTTGAGCTCTATTTATTAGATATGCTGGACCTTCTCATTCTATCACTTGTATCTCTTAAACTCTTTCATATTTTCCATTTCTTTATCTCTCTGTACTGACTGTATACTAGGTAATTTGCTCCAAAATTCTCTTCCAGCTATGTACGCATTTATTATTTTTTAAAATATCTTTATTGGAGTATAATTGCTTTACAATGTTGTGTCAGTTTCTCCTGTACAACAAAGTGAATCAGCTATATATATACATATATCCTCATATCCCCCTCCCTCTTGAGCCTCCCTCCCACCCCTCTAGGTTGTCACAAAGCAACGAGCTGATCTCCCTGTGCTACTTTATTATTAAAATACATTTTCTTTTACCTAGTATTTCTATGTGTCTTGGGGGTGGGAGGAGAGGTTGTATTACCTCAGTTCATCATATTGCTTGTGCCAGGTCAGCATTTGTTTAATATTAATGGAAAAAACATAGATATCATTTGATAAGGGAAATACGTGCACATGTGTATAGGTAAATGACTGGGAGGCTATCTGCCAAATGTTAACTAAATTATCTCTAAGGGATGAAATAACTGAAAACTTTTTACTTTCTTTTTTAGATTTCTATGTTTTGAATAATTAACAATTTTTATTTTTATGGTTGACAACATTATAAAGCTATTTCCATTTTTTTAAAAGAAAAATGAGTCTCAGCATCAGTGGGAACTTAGAACAAAAATATCACCTAATATTTATTAAACACTTTATATATACACCAGACACTGTTCTAAGTATCTTACACATAGTACATCATTTAGTGTTCAAAAGGACAGAAGGTTGTTTTGTAAGGAAGGTAGGGTCTTAGGTAAAAGGACTAATAAAGAGGTTTTCTCTGAAAAATGGAAAAATGGCAAGGACATCTTTAGTAATGCTGCATAAAAAATAGTTTTATATTTTTGGACTGCACAATTTTCAACTAGGTAACATGAAAATTTTGCATGGAAAATATTCCTTTAATTACATAGGAATAAACATTTGTTACACAGAAAAATGTAACAGAGCTAAAGATAAAAATTAAGTAACAGAGCTAAAGATAAAAATTAAGTTTGAAAGGAGACTGTTATACATTCATACATTCTTTTAACAGTACCAAAATATGGGAGTCATGTGTACAAAACTATGGCCTGTATGTAATATGATTAATAACAGGCACTTACAATGCCTGGGACATTATGTGCAAATCGTTACTGTGAATTAATTTCAGAATGTCATATTCTGCTTATTTCTTTCTGCCTCTGGCACACACCATGAACAAAACACTTAACCCACACTCACTATGAAACACTAAGTGACTAAGTGTAAAGCAGTATGAAAGGTACTTTATAAAGACTAAAGAATTCAGCAAACTATCTTCACTGTACCATCACAGTGGTGAATGTCTAACAATGAGGATCCAAACTAAATCCATCTAAATGAGATTCAAAACAAATGTCTACAGAAATTTTATAGCAATATTAAAGTATACTATATTTTCTGAGCCTCAATCTAAAAGAAGCTAGTATCATTAATTTTCAGGAGGGTTCCAAAAAATGTTACAGTGTAGTAGAAAGAGTTCTGCACTTTGAACCAAAGGACCTATGAATCAGGTATGGAATCTTAGGCAAATTAATTATTCACTTTGAACTCTGTTTTCCCTAATTATAATATGAAAATAATGTTATCTACCCTCCCTTTTAACTACTAAATGCAAAAACACCTCAAAACAATATGACAAAGTACTATTTAATAAGATGCTATTATTTTTATAAGAAAATCAACTATGAAACCAAGCATATTTCAACAATATATAGGGTAAGAGAAAAGTGGGATCCCAAAACATGGCAATGTGGTCATTAAGTACATCCTTCCTAATAATTCTCTATCAAATATACAAGCATATCTAACAAGTGGCCTGGTGGTAAACCTTGCATCTCATCGAAAAAGAAAGCAATCATCATTTCAAGGTGATACTTTACCTAGTCATAAATTCCTCAAACTTTGAACTGGTAAGGTTAAGGCTGGACCAGTGTGTATCTGCCACAGGTTTGTGCTCTGGAGGACCCAGGTATGCAAGAAGTGTTGCCATCTTATCAAAAGGTCGTCTTCCAACAGCTTTGTGATCCCTAGATATAGCACACTACTTAGGAGAAAGGTAGCAGTTCACATTTAGCAGAACACATTTCTTTAGATTGTCACTGGCTGCTTTTCTTTTTACTGTCAGCTGGTGGTTCCTGTTAATTTGTAAATAGCATCCAAAAGAGCTCAGGGGTTTGAAGTTTACACTGAGACGTCTCAGAAATATGACCACTCCCTAAACTACAAAATTCACATAAAACTTCATTTTGTTCTAGCATTAATCCATTACCATTAAATGGGCAATCAGCAAGTAAATATAACATTCTGATCCACTTTTTAGGAAGTGGACATACTGTCCCTGATATCAGATTTCTGCTACTCAGGGTAAATATGAATTTTCAACAACTATTAAACATTTAAAACTAAAGACAACGACATTATTTCACAAACATCAAACTGGCAAAAAATTATGAAGTTTGCTAATGCCAATTTTTATGAGGATGTGTATAAAGAGGTACTCTCACACAGTGCTGTCAAAGTGTAAATAAGCATGTAAACTGTGAAAAGTAACGTGGCAATATCTAGTAAAGTTGAGGCTGTGTATACCCCAGAACTTGGCAATTACACATGTAGGTAATATACAAGGAGACAGACATGAAGAATATTTATTACATCACTATTTAAAATAATAAAAAACAGGAAACCCTAAATATCCATCATTTAGGAAGTGCAAAAATAAACTGTGATATAGTCATTCAATGAAATACTAAGTTAAATAAATGATAAATCTCAAATAGAATATTGTGTGAAGAGACTATACTCAGTGTATCACTGCTGTAAATTTTAAACCACAGAAAACTATATTATATGTACCTATGTTATACCTGTTATTTCCTTTTTCTTGTCAGTTACACAAGAGAGAAGTAATACCTTTTCTTCCCCAAGAAATAAAATGTTATAAAGATCTGAAGTAATTACAGAAAAATAAATAATGTTAAAGCTAGGTGGTAGACATGGGTCTCTGTTACATTACGGTCTATACTTCTTTTTATGTGTCTTTTTTTAAAAAACCAAATTGAAGAAAAACTCTCTAGTATTAAACTACATGAATATGATTGTAAGTTATATAAGAGTTTGCGCTTAAAAAATGCATTTAAAAGAACGTTTGCATTTAAAAGTTCCACAGTTTAACTGCCACACAGATACAGAAAGCATCTTCCTCTTTCTATCTTAGGCACATATTAGTCATACCCATGTCTACTTCAAGCCATTAACAACTCTTAAAGGATTAAAATGCTCTCTCTTTTAAACTCCCATTTCCTAATTGGTTGCTAGCCTTAGCTTTATGGTCTTCTATTTTCCCCATGAATGAGCAAACCATTTTTATTGCCATTTAAAAGTAATCTGGACTCATTTTACCTTTGTAAGAGAACTCATACATAGGAATTTGGGCCCTTTATAAACATACATAACTAGAAAGGACAGCAAATGATTCAGGCTACAAGAGACTTTAACTAAAAACAGCAAATGAAACAATTCCCAAATTAATAATTTTCAGTTATTAAGTATTGTCTATATAAAGCTATTTGCATATACTTAAGAGTATCACAAATGGGATTATTATAGGATTGCAATAGAATAGCAATGTTTTAATTATTAAATTCCTAAGAATTAAGCTGCTCTTCAGATTCAGATGCCAATACTCACTTGAACTTCTAGTATATTTAAATTTCTCTATGTCTTGTTGTACATTATGTTTGCAAACCAGAAAAAACCCAAAAGGCTAGTTTGTGAATTCTTAGCTTAATTTTTTTTTTTTTTTTTTTTTTTTGGCTGTGCCGCACGGCTTGTAGGATTCTTAGTTCCCCCACCAAGGATCAAACCCAGTGAAAGCGCTGAGTCCTAACCACTGGACCCCCAGAGGATTAATTCCCTCTTAGCTTAATATTTTTTAAAAAGTCTGTAGCACTGATGTAGGTTGGTTGATCATTTAATATGACTTAACCTGTTGCCTATATACTTTTAGAAAGAGTCTACATTTCTCTTTCCAAATCATAATTCTTATCTAAGAAGATGCAAAGTAAAAAGCATTATTCATGACCAATAATTTTATTGGTATGAATTTAAACTGGGCCTTCCCTGGTGGTCCAGTGGGTAAGACTCCACGTGCCCAGTGCAGGGGGCCCAGATTCGATCCCTGGTCAGAGAACTAGATGCCACATGCATGCTGCAACTAAGAAGTCCGCATGTCACAAATAAAGATCCCACATGCCCCAACGAAGATCCCACGTGCTGCAACTAAGACCCAGCACAGCCAAAAATAAATTATAAATAAATAAATACTAAAAAAAAAATGTTAAGCTGAGACTTTTCAATATCCCCATGACAGGGAAATTTTACCTGTTGCTGGAAAGATACTGGCCAATTTTCTCTTGATTGTTCCAGAGCAGACGATGTAAAGCAAGCACATTGCCATCACTGATGAAGGAAAGACTATGATTTACTGCATCACTTGTAGGACAATCGGATGCTATATCAAGGAAAAACCTTCAAAAATGCAAAGTTATTAGAATTTCAAAAACCAGATATACTCATATCTATGTTTGAATTAAATCTATGTGAAGTAACTTTGTGAAATTACTGCTATTACAAATATGGAGGTTTTATCATTAAATGAAACAAGAAGAGACAAGGAGAAAGTTGGTCTTCCATTTCTGATACCTGGCTACAGCTTCAGAGTAGGCTCTGAGGTCAGACAACGAAATTTAAACAGATGAGACTTTGTAGAGAAGCCAGTACTTTACAGATAAGGAAACGGAGGCCCAGACAAGACAAAAGACCTCTCCAAAGGTCTATACAGCCTCTTAGGTCAAAGCCAGGATCAGAACCTTTGTTCTTTTAACTTTCTATGGGTAGTCAGTCTGCCAGAATATAAATCCTATGCTGACATTCACTTTCTTTCCAATGTGATTTGCAGTCCAACAGTACACCTTTTAAACTCCAATTAGACAGAAGTTTGCAGGAACTATAATGAAAAATTGGAAGAGAGTGTTGTACAAGTATAGCTTAGACTGTGAGCCAAAACAATTAGATTCACACTGTATGAAAAGTAGAATTCTTGATGTCAACTTACATTTACAAAGCACTTTCTCATAAGTTATGCCATTTGCTTCTCTAAAAGCAACTCACAGGCAAACATAGTGTTATACCTACTCTACAGATAAACCAACAACTCAGAGAGAGAAAGAGAAGCAACTAGCTAGTTATGGGAACCTAGCAGAACTCAAGTTTTCTAAAATCATAAAACTTCAACAGTTATCCAGTTTCTCATGAACAAAATCTTACGCATTTGCATCACGTGGTTTAAAGAGTAACTTTTTAGTTTACATACCTATCCAAATTAAAGTATCAAAACTATTCTAACATCAAAAACACCTGTGATTATACACTATAATGCATTATCTGTACCAGTTTGGTTTTAGTTTTTACTGAAAGAAATCTTTTTCCTTCTTCCTCTCCTCCATATTGTGTCAAACTCAAATCCTTTATTTTAGCAGATATGTCAAAAACCCCTCCTGGTTTCCAAATATGGAAATCACTACCAGATTATAAAGAATATCATTTTATTTCATTACTGTCTTTTATAGTGAAATAAAATAAGATTATGTTCTTGACCAAGAGAGGAAAAAAGAAAAAAACCTACACAGGAGCTTCATGTAGATCAAGTACATAGACTTGAGTGGAACTGAAAATATGTGATCCAAACAGAACAACTGGCTAAGTATCAGGCTGCTCACCTTCGTGCTGCATCAAAGTTGCTTTTCACAAAATCATTAAAAGGCCGCATGTGCTCTTCTTTTGTGAAAAGGACATGATTGGCAATACTCTGAAGTACCTAAACAATAAAATAGGGTTATAAAGGATCTGATTATTTATTTATGAAAGCTACACATTCATATATTCTTTGAAAAATATTAATTTTCTCGCTGATACAATTTCTACTGGTAGTTAAAAATCAATTATTGCTCATTCAGTAAATACTAGGTTTTGTTTCTATGCTTTCCCAAATATGAATATAATTATATAAACACGTATATTATTACATATATAAAGTACAAATTAAAATTTTAATGTATTTTTTTAATTTAAAAATCATATAGTATACATTTTGGTTTCCATTTCAGAATTTCCATAATGATTACATAGAAAACCATCTTCAGAAGACATTTGCTAAAATATTTCCAAATGATAATAAGGTCCATCGGTATCAGTCTAATGAATTTCTTTGTAATATAAACAAAAATAAAACACAAGCATATAAGTGAAAACCACAGGGCATTTCAAAAATTAAGAGAAAGTACAGTGAATACGAAAAACTGAAAATTTATGGAAGAGAAATTTTGAATAGCTATATTATCAAAATGATTCTTCACCTTTGACATTAACTTCAAGCCTCTTTCGATTCTAGGTGGTGGCTTTTTATCTAAAATCCCTGCTTCATATGGTGAGACAATGGCAGGATTGATAAATCTGAGAAACATGGCACTTCCCACTGCACCGATGCTGTTCTGAGGGAAACGCTGGCTAACCACCTAAAAACAAGGAGTTGAGAATTCAGTATATGGTTTGAATTAAAACAAGGAAATGGGAAGAAAGGGCTTGAAAAGTCAAACTTTGCACAAAAATGCTGAAAGACCAATCCTTGTGAACAACACATGCCTAATTTTTCCTACTCCCAAAACATCAGTAAACAAAAATTTATCCTCAATTCTTGCCCTCTATCATTTAAAAGCACAATAAAGGCATCTAAGAAAAAAGAGAAGTCTCATAGATGAGTTGTGTAGAAGAGATCTGAAAAAAGATCTTAATTTTATCATCACTGTTTATACTGCAGGTTTGATGAGCAACAAAAGCAGAACAAAATTTCACACAAGGATTACCATATTTTACTAAGATTACAAGACATGAGAGTGTGGTCAACTCTTGTAAGGCAAAGCTAAATAAGTTTTCAACAGCATACCCCTGAAACATCCAATACCTAATGGTAAATACTTACATTTTGCTGTATACCAGGTACAATTAAATTTCTTGAGCAAAATGCTTGCCATATACAAAACAAAACTTAGTTTTCTTTGATTCCTATCGAGAGAAAAAACTTACTTACAAGTAACATTATTGCCAGTTCTTTTTCTTCATCAGAATGCTTTATAAGGGCCTACTTATTATTTAAACCATGGAGGAATGGGAATTCTTGGGGACCTAAAAGAAAAAAGGATCCCACCAGCAAAAGAGAGAACCCCTAAGTGTACCTCAATTTGTAATTCTGTCAAATAAAAAAAGTTAAAGATACAAGAAATCGTTGCCCACACTGAAAAACAATGTGAGCTCAACATTTTAAATGGATTTTTTTTCTCTTTTTCTCTTTATAAAACATTCCACTTTGAAGGTAAATTAGACTGGGAAAGTGCTATGAAGCTGGCTCAGCTCCCATCTTTTCCTAGCGTGTCCTGTTTTAAATTAACACATGAAAATTATAGTTTTCTGAAATTTACATTTGTTACAGATAACACACATATTTATTTTTAAAGAACACTCATATAACATTTAAATCTCTACAACTATTCATGCTTAGTGTGGCTAACTGCTGCTTAAAGCAGTGTTGACTCAGGGCAAGGCCGCAGTACTCCACTCAATGTTCTGGGATTCCAAGGATAAACCTGCATTTCAAAGGCTATTGGGGGAAAATGAGAAAACAGGATTTCTATGCAGAATCTCACATAGCTCTAGTTTTCTTCACAATGCCTCAAAAAAATAATACTTCGTCATGAATTCTCATGGCTGACTGACTCAAGATTAACTCTGGAAAGAATAAGAATCATTTCACTTCATTCTATTTCCTTCAGTGCTTCATGTGGTATACATTTTAAATGTGTTCTTATTCACTGCCTAAAATCTCAAAATAATTTTCAACTATATATCATAGGAAGTTAGTAAAAATAAGACTTTAGAGAATGACTTTTTAAGCTGAGAAAATCTTTGTGAGAGGTGATAACAGGGGTGAGTTATAACTAATATATTCTCACCTTCATGTATACTGCATAGCTCAGGAAGCTTTCTTGGTGTCATAGTACTTGGAGTGCTATTGCATGAAGGATAACCTTACACCTCAGTAAGAGGAAACTGGTGAAGGTGGCTAAACACAGCAGTCTTAGAAGAACGGCTTTAAAACCTAAATACTGTTTTAGTTATTTTTAGCTGAAATACAGTTTTGGAAACAGAATTAAGAAGAAAACACAAGTGCTTTTACTACTCTAGTACAGTGTTTAACCTTTCGGGGAGTAGGAACAGAAAAATGAACGTCTACTTTCGCACAGACAAAACTCTTCATAAATTTTACAGTGTTCACAGACCACCATTGCTACTGATTGTTTCTTTTAGAACTCACAAATTTTAATCTTAAAAGATAAGAAACACCTCAACAAACGTACAAATTTTTAAAGCCTTTAAGGAGTGAGTTAGCAAGAAGGAACGGGATTAAAAACTGCTTTATATTTATAATTGCAAATAGGTTGTTTTAAAAGAATCGCATATATTCAGTTTAATCCATTAAAATCCTGAAATGGTTTTTAAAGAAGTAAAAGTTAAGAGTTTGGTTTCCAAAGAACTGGTTAATTGTAAAATACTAACCTGCTGGGAAAGTGTCTCAAAAAAATCAATTACTTATATGCACACAGAGAACTCTTTTAAAATGCACTTTTAGAGTAGCTATTTCCTGGTTTTCTCTAGGACAGAAAAGCTTTTAAAGTGTGACGCACATTTATACCTGATTTAAACTCAATATTATTCAATCTCAGAATTTAATGAATATCTGAGTGAATTATTTCCCTAACGGAATATTGTAAAAATTATGAAAGGTACTACACCTTCACTAACTTCCACATCTTCAAAAATAATTCATGTCAAAACTCAAAAGTATCCGCACTACAAGAACACATATTGTTTCATGTATCATATAATTATGTATCTCACCAATGACAGTGTATTTTTGGAACTAAAACCTGATAAAACAATCAATACCCATAAAAATGCTCAACAACAAATTGTATGGTTAATTTATTAAAATACTTCTTTTCCTTTCACCACAAATTAACATCAGTGTAATTTTACCTCATAATATACACATACTCAAGTTGTTTTTATTTATTTATTTTTTTTTTGTGGTACGCGGGCCTCTCACTGTTGCGGCCTCTCCCGTTGCGGAGCACAGGCTCCGGATGCGCAGGCTCAGCGGCCATGGCTCACGGGCCCAGCAGCCGCTCCGCGGCATGTGGGATCTTCCCGGACCGGGGCACGAACCCGTGTCCCCTGCATCGGCAGGCGGACTCTCAACCACTGCGCCACCAGGGAAGCCCCTGTTTTTATTTTTAATCTGCAAAAATCTAATTTGTATCCAAAAGACATTCTGCATGAAAGGTCAAAGTAGGGCCAGTCTGAATGCTGAAACCAATTATCAGTCAAATGTCCCCTTTACTTACCTCCCCGCCCACCCCCCCAAAAAAGCTGAACTACAGGTTACAAATAAAGGCAGTCATACACTGTACATCATCAAGAGAATCACAACCCATCTATCCTTAATTACCTGAGTTAGGTTGACAACTTCTCAAAGGAAATCTAATTTACAGTATATGTTTGAGTATGATAAAGAGAATTATCTATAATATGATTACACAGCTATATACCAGAAGCCAGAACCTTCTCTCCATATTTTACACATTACAATCCATGGTACATACACCCCAAAAGAAAGTTAACTTGCTTTTTTAGATCAGTAGATTCTGTTAAGCCAACAACTCCATAAACCAGCATTTTAAATTTATAATAACTATACTGTCTTCATACTTTGGAATGTGTTCTAAAATATCTTAAATTGCCAATTAGATTTCCTTTGTTTCCATAAGTACCTCATATCACTTGTGCTGAGAAATACATTCCAAAACGTAGTGTTACCCAGAAACATTCTTTTTTTTAATCTGAAAATAACACTAGTAGAAAAAAACATTTCAAGGAACAATTTTAGACAAAATCTTAATAAATAAAGCAATGTTAGGAAGGCTAAAAAACATGCTCTAGAGAAAGAGAGAAAGCCTGAATTTTAATTTATGTGATATACTACACAATGGTATTAGTAAAACACCAAACAAGAGTGTTAGAAATAGTAAATTAATTTCAACAGTGATGGTGTATATTATGTTAAATCCACATATGCTGAGAATCAGAAGGCTGAAGCATTAGGAAGAAATGCTTTTATTAAGTAAGATGGCCATCCAATCCAATCCATTTGCTCACAGCTGACCAAATTTACTTAACGTATCCAAAAAAGAATCTCTTGAATGGACATAAAAGCATGTCTCTAAATTTTAATTTAGTTCTGAATTTAAAATAGAAATTTATTATATGTAAAGCTCAGACGAGAAATGAAAGATGAAACCAGATGAATACTCTACACTAAATTTTACCTTTTAAAGTAAACTACTTACATGACTCCTAAAGGTTTTCTTTACATCTTTCTCTAAATTTATTTGGATTGTATGAACAAAGGTAGTACTGAGCCTGATAAAGATCAGTCATACTGACATATAATGGCAAATTTAAAATGAATGCACGTTAATATTTTGGACAAACGTCACTCACAGCGAAGAAAATAATTATGACTACCATAATTTTCTTCCTTTTAAATTAGGGCAAGTTCATAGAAGCAGGTAAGTATATGCATATCATGTTTGCAAATAAGGTGTTTCTCTATAAATATGGACTCACTGTTTTCCTTTATTTCAGAAGTACTATAATTCTCAGTCCCAATAGTTTAATAATGGTTTTCTCTAAGGTAAAAGTGGTTTTGTTTTACCATTAGAATTTTTATAATCTAAGCACAATTATCTAAATCCTGGCTGAGACTGTCTAGATAAAAATATAAGAAGTAAAAAATAAACTTTAGCTACTTTTAGGTAAGATTTATTAGAAAGTGACACTTTCCTTCCATGTACCTCTAACAATTAAGAAAAACTTTCATCTCTAGGAAAAGAAATCACTCACATTACCTGCAAACAAGAAGCAAGAATGAAGAGAGTCAGCATTTCCTAAGGCCTTGAAATTAAGTTTCTTTTGCATTCATTTATAATTTAAAAAATAAATAATAAAATTAGACCAGGGATATCCAATGCAACAAATGCCCCCAAAATACCTTTGGGATAAATCAAACCAAAGGAACACAGAGAACGTTTCAATGTAACTTAATTCCAGGGTTAATTGAAATGAAAGCTACTTTGTGCCAGAATTAGTAGAATGATTTTACAGTGAAGGTCAAATAGGCTGAAGTGAAGATGTTCTTAACAAACAGCAAAAGATTTTTGTTTTGCTTTGAAAGAAACAGCTAAAAAAAAGTTCTCCAAACTTACTGATTTTTTGTTTTCCTTTTTTTCTTTTACTGTAGCTTTATTCAGTAGGGAGTGGCAAGTTGCCTACAGAACAGAGATGAGCACAAACAAGTCACAGCACCAACTACATACAGCAACAAAAACAATGTTGGCTTGTACATAAAATTACATGATCAAAATGTAACACAAATGGAATCAACAAAAAATTAGGAATCAACTTAATTTTGAGGGATGAATTTTATATCTGGATTTTAATTTTTATTACATTTTTAAGCCAAAGCACTAAATAAATAGCAAGAAATGTTGAGACAATCATATCTACTATTTCTGGCTATAAATCGCAGAAAAGCTCTCCTCAAGTGAATGTGAGGATATTTAATATTTACATTTCAGTTAAATCCTAGCTTTTGATAAATTTTATATAAAATGTTCATTACAAATAGATCATACTCTAAAAACACTTCTATGCATCTACATAATTTTTTCTTGATACATGTATTTATATATACTTCTCTGTGTATCCTTCAATTGACTTAAGAAGTTCTTTTTTCAATAGCTGGCATTGAATTCCTATCCTATTGATCAAAAAAATAAACATTAAATGGCTAAATATAATAGAAAAATACACTTCAGAGATTCTGAGCTAGTCTCTCTCTCTTTAAGAAAGATTACTCTTACAATTTCACTTATTTTTGTTTGCAGGCTACTTCCTGAAAAAGTTCTAATCAGAGGAGGTTAAAAGCTCTGCAACATTTGGGAAAAGAATGTTATCAGCTCAACTAGAAATAAGCATTAATATTAAAGTGAAGAAACTGCAGAGAAAATTACAGAATAAAACTGTAAGCCTGCTTAAAATTTTTCACAGATTTGACCATTTATCAGAATGTCTCCAAAATACACACACACACACACACACACATACACACATACACACACAAAACCCAAAACCCACAGAGACATATTGGTTTCATCTCTCAGAGCTCCTCCTAGGCCAAAGAGCTCTGTTAAAATTAAAAGACTCCTGATTGGACTAGACTAGGCACAATAATTATATTTAAAATATCTTGAAAACAAATTAGAATTCTTTAATCCACCATACATGGCATTTTATTCTAAAAATTCTGTGCATTCAACACCATAACCCATAATAACTTGGCATTAGTTTGATATTTGTTCATCCATCCATCCATCCATTCATCCAAGTAGTTACTGTGCACCTACTTGCTAGATACCATTCTAAGCACTGGAAGAAAGCAATAAAATAAGAAGACATGGTCCTTTTCTCAAGGAGCTTTGATTCAAACTTTAGACTATATACAAAAGCACTAGTAACCCAATTTACCCCAAAAATGCAGTTTTACACACTTTTTATTTTCAATTACGGTATATAACCGTCAATTATAGCCTTAAAATTTTTGTGTAAACTACTTCTGTTTGGAGAACCACATTTGCTAGGAAAAGACGACATTTATTTAGAATTATATTTAGCTCTTTCTCAGAATTCTCTCACCACAACTTAGGAGAATATCCACTCTGGGAATTATTTTCTCATTATTCCAAAACTATCAGGAGGAAAAGTGGAAATAAATACATGAGAAAATGTCTCGGTTATAAATCTAACACATTTTCACAGTTGGCTGGCTATTCCTATATAATCTTAACCCAGTCCACTAAGTAAGGAGGCATATAAAATGAAAGACATGGTTAAACCATGATTTTAAAAAGGCTTAACAGTCAAAAATACTAACTCAAGTAAAAAGACCTAAAGCTCAGAGAAATTTATTAGCTAGCAATATACTCAGCTTTCAAATCTTCCCCAGTAGGTCCCAAAGCAGGAGACATATTTACTAGAGGGAAAAAAACAATTGACTACTATCCCTCCCAGCAGAACATAAAAGTACAAACGGACCATTATGTTATTGCCAAAGTCAAAAGGGCAAGGAAAAGCCAGAGGAGGGAAGATGAATAAAAATAAAAGAGCAAACTAAGGGAAAAACTACATTTGGAAGGAGACTCAATGAAAGAATATCTTGAGATCAAAGTTTTTTTGTTTGTTTGTTTTTAATTAGTAAATGTAAAATTTCCTGTAATCAGTCACTTATTAAAAAACTCTTATTTATAAATAACATAGCATATATGTCCTCTATAGTATTGTACATTCCAACAATAAGTTTATCCAATACGTCCCCAAAATGCACTAACATTTAAATAATATTATTAAAGGGAATAATTGTATGTGAAATTTTAATACAATAATTCAGGTCTGTTGTAATATGGGATATTGTATTATGGAATGTTTTAAAAAGCACAACACATAGTGGTTAATAAGCCACCAATTATCAACTAGCATTATTTTCTGCATTATTTTTCACTTCCCTCCCTTCCTAACTACGAAAGCTGGCAAGAATCTTGTTTACTTGTGTGGGAGAAATGGGGTTATTTATTCCTTCATTAAATATTTTCTAAGTACTTACTAAGTGCCAAGCACTTAGTTCCTTTTTCCTTACCAAATGGGACTCCAAGTTTGCTGATGATACAAAAATTGTTTTCTTTTAGGGAGACAACCACATGAAGAATTTCTACTAAAATCTACTAGACCATATATGTAACCAGGTACTTAGTACCCGTTCACTTCTAACCAGCTAAAGTCAAAGCCACTGCCACTTGAGAAATTCATCTGCTCTCTGAAAACAGTTACTATTAGGCCAACCAAGAAGTTGGTCCAGACTATTTTTAATATGTGCTCACTGTTTCTTATCTGCCTAGTTTTATAAACAGAAGAAGGACTGAATTGGATTTAAAGAGAAACCTGAATAATGCCCAAATTTAAGCTATTACTTACTGTATCAGATTTCATATTATAACTAAACCACCCTCTGGTCTCAGATTTAACTAGCTGAAAAAATTATGTGGGGCTCTCCTAAGCTTCCTTGAGCTATTTTGAAAAGGCAGGAAAAGTCATGATAAATTAAATTAAGAGAGTTTTAATGCTAAGTATGCTTCATCATCTACAAACATGATGAAACATTTTTTTTATAGATACAGCAGATACATCTTTATAAATAGCAATGCGGGAAAAATTCACAAAGAGCAGCCTGAAACAGCTTTCTTAAATGACAATTTCACTGAACTTGCTAATGTCTCTAAGCAACCGAAGCCCTGTGCTAAAAAACAAATGGCTGGGGATAACTCTGCAAAGAAAAAGGCACAAAAGGCATGGGTTTTGATAAATGCATAAATTCTTTCCCCTATACCTGCCCCTGTCCCAAACTCCAGACCCACTAATGTTTCTTCCAGAATCACAGTTTTAACAGGCTAACGTGGATTTGCACTAATCTCCCTTGGAGTGATTAAATCATTTCTGAAACTGCATATGCTGATCAAAAACACAGTGGAAGCCATAAAAGAACACAGATGCAATTTCCTTAGCAAGTAGCGGATGACTGTGGACATCTGAACTCAGAAGCATTACTTGCAGTTCTAGTGTTGGAAAGTCTAATAATTTGACATGAATGATGATGCAATATATTTTATAAAGTAGCATTCTACATAAAATAAAACATCAGCCTGTCCTGGGAAAACCCGACACAAACACAATAGAGCTTAAAAAAAAAATCAAAATTATGGATCAAGCATTTCACAACACAAAAAGCAAGGAGTAGACCAGCCTCATATGTGAAAGACCCTATGAGTAATCTAGGTACAAGATAAAAACAACAACAAAAATTCCATAATTTATCTCATTTCAATCACATCTATTATACCCAGTAGATTTGGTGCATTTTAAGCTTGTTCTCAATGCAAGGAAAAATTTATTATTTTTAAAGTACCCCCTTAAACTACTTTATATTTTTAAACAATTTAAACAATTCTTAATGTATTATTCATCCAAATTGATTCAGTATTATCAACCACCCACTATTAGCAGCTAAATCCCTCTTTGGTAAAGCATTTTTTAAAACTTAGCTGTGGATTAATAATGGTAATCTCTAACCTTAAGCATACCTGGTACAAACAGTGGCACACACTTCGTAGCTGAGGGGGAAATTCGGAGGAGGAACTGATGATGGCATGGAAGAACTTTTCGGTCATCTGAAGGAGGTTTCGCTGGTTTTCCTCAAGGCTCTCTGACTGTTCTAACCTATCGAGAGGAAAAAGAAAAAAAGCAAAACCAATTAAAAACAAACAAACAAACAGACATACTCCTTAAAAGAGATTCCTTAAGAGACATTCAGCCAAATGCAACATTTGGACTTTTCTGGGAACCTGATTTAAACAAACCAACTATAAAAAAGGCAATTTTGAGAACTGTGTATAAAAATTCTTCTCCCTCTATATTTTCACAAATTTAGTATATGATTTTTATTTTTTTGTCCATCTAGTAGGTAGGAGAGTGCACCTCACATTTTAAAATTTTATTTCCATGACTTCAGTAAAGTTAGACATGCTTTCAATATTTTGTGGCCATTCAGGCCCTGTTTTCAACTGCCCTTCATATCCAGTTTAATATCTCTAACTGCTAGGTGTCCCTCTTGCCAGTACCTAAAACTCAGTTTGTTCAAAATCAGCTGAGTTTTTTCCTCCTACTTGTATGTCTCATCCTGTGTTCCCCATGTTGTCAACGGCACCATCACTGTTTCTTTCAATCATGTCATTCAGGTGACCTCTGATGTCGTCTTTGCCTGCAGTACTCCATTATTCCCCACATTCAATTACTGTTGCTAATTCTTCTGTATGATTCTTTTTGTTTTAAGGTATTTATTTATTTATTTGGCCGTGCTGCACAGCATGCAGGATCTTAGTTCCCTGACCAGGGATTGAACCCGTGCCCCCTGCAGTAGAAGCACGGAGTCTTGACCACTGGACCGCCAGGGAAGCCCCTCTTCTGTATGATTCTAAAGTCTTGGTGCTGTGATTAAAGGCAGATATTCAGAAGGCAGACTCACTAGGTTTAAATTTCAGCTTTACCACTTATTGACCATTATGACCTTGGTCAAGATACTTAACTTCTGAGCCTCATTTTTTCCATCAATAAGACAGGAATAATTACAATGCCTACTTTACGGGGTTTAAATTTTACCCAGTGGCTCTCAAATCCACAAACCTTTACTTGAGCTGCCCAACCGAACTCTCAAAACACATTCCCTATGAAAGTCACTACTTAACTACTTGTTATATGTCTTATCTCCCCTACTAAACTGTAAGATCCTTGAAGAATGTATTCATCTTTGACCCCTTAAAAACTAGCATAGTACCTTACCAAAACAATTATTGAATAAATACTTGTTTTCAATCTCTTAACTAGTAATTTTCTTTCTATACTAATTTACATATTACATAAAAGTTTGGGACACTCCAGATTCCTTGCAGCTCACCATGTGGTGCAGCATATGGATACAGTAAGAGTTTGGAAATTAATGTAGATGACAGGCAGGAAAGATTTCATGGACTATGTGAGTTCTAAAGGAGGGAAAGAACCTGCATAGGCAAAAAGAAGTAAGGGCATTTCAGAAAGAAGGCAGGACAAGCACACAGTTCAATCTGATAAACATTTATCATGCATCTACTATTTGCATCTTAATGCCAGGTGCTGAGGATTCAACGATAATTGGCCTTTGAACTTTTCAAAGAGGGGAGAGAAGTACACACTAAGTAAAGAGTACAATTATTCAAGGATATAAAAGACAAAATAGCAAACCAGAGACAGACACGATTAATTCACATGGCAACTGGTTGCCGGGAAGTCAGAAGCAGAAAATGAACTTGGGATATATGGGGAACTAAAAAGAGACTGGTCTAAATATGGGGGCTTTATGCAGGGAGATCACTTAAGAAGCTACAATAGTAACTCAAATCTGAGATATGGAGGGCATAGAAGCTTTGCGTATGAAAGAAAATATTAACAATATATTTAACAGGGCTAGAAGAGATTCCTAGAAACCTTGACAGTTCTTGTCTACTTTGTGGGAACTTTTTCTTAATGAGTCAACACAGCAGCAGGTGTGCTGCTGGTCTGTTTCAGATGTCCCTCTAATACATCTATCCCTCATGCCTCCCACGTGCCAATGATAACTTATTGGCTATTCCATTAATTCTGATCTATAACGAAGCTTTGTGTTCAATTATTTAAGTGTTTGTGTGTATAAAAATTTTTCCCTCTGATTTTCAATCAGCTTTTGTTTTTGTTTTTTTATCCTATTGTTTTCCTGTTTTTAATTTCATTGATTTCTAATTTTTATTTCTTTCCTTCTGCTTGCTTTAGGTTTATACTAAACTTTCTCTAATTTTCTAAGGTGAAAGTTTAGGCCATTCATTTTAGATCTTTCTTCTTTTCTAATCTATGCATTTAATGCTGTAAATACTACATTTCACTATGTTCCACACATTCTGATAAGATGTACTTTCATTTTCATTTAGTTTTTCTTTTTCTTTGCATTTCAGTTTTGGAAATTTCTATTGACATATCTTCAAGTTCACTAATTCTTTTCTCATTTGTGTCCAGTCTACTGATAAGCCCATCCAAAGGCATTTTTCCTTTCTGTTACAATGTTTTTGATTTCTAGCATTTCCTTTTGATTCTTTCTTAGAGTTTCCATCTCTGTTTAAATCACCCACCGGTTGTTGCATGTTGTCCACTTTTTTCCATAGAGCCCTTAACATATTAATTGTAGTTATTTTAATCCTTGTCTGATAATTCCAAAATCTGTCACACCTGAGTCTAGTTCTGATGCTTGCTTTGTCTCTTGAGACTGTGATTTTTATTGCTTTTTAGCATGCTTTGGAATTTTTTTGTTGAAAGACCCAAGACATAATGGGTAGCAGGAACAGAAACAAAGAGGTCTGTAGCGTAAGGTTTTATGTTAATCTGGCTAGGACTCAGGTTGTGCTTAATGTTTGCTGTAGCTATAGGTGTCAATTTCTTCCAGGGTCCTTGTTTTTGTCTACCCAGTTGTCTGGGATTCCCTAGTTTTCCCTAGGAATTTCTTCTCAGAGTCTCTGTGTTGAAGCTCTCTGCTGTAACCCACTTTTAATACACTGGAGTCCTGTTGATGCAGTAGTGAGGTACTGGGGAGGGGAAGCAGTCTATAATCTTATGCTTATATCTCCATTGTTTTACTGGGCCAGAGTGGCTGGGTTGTGACCTTCAGAAGAATTTCTTAGCCTTTTTTCTCCCCTTATGTGAGTCAGGAAGGCTAGAGGAGGCTGAAGTTGGGTAACTGCCCATCCTCCAGGTCAGAAAAGGCTCTGGTAGTTATCCTTAAAGGCAGGCCTTTGTAAGGGAGAACAGAACACTATGGGCATATTACAAAATGGTTACTTTTCCCCTTCCCCTGCCCAGAGCACAAGGGGACTTTTCTTCCACCTTCACCATGAGAACCTGGTAGGGTTTCTAGAGGTCAAACTCACAGAAGTGTGGGGTCCCCCTGACACAGGGCCCCCAGGAGCTTTCATTCTCAAGCTAATCCACACTCAACCTCCAGCAAGTTGTCAATTACAGCCTAAGTGTTCCTACCAGTTACTGACTCCAGCAGCTGTTTCTCCCTGTAAGCTGGGATTCTCTGAATTTGGCTGTCACGCCAGTTTTTTCCCTTTTTGGGCGGTGGGGGGTGCCCTTCAATTCTCTGATGAATTTAAGAAGAGTTGCTGATTTTCTGTTTTCAGCTTTTTCTTGTTATGAACATAGCAGTGTCAACTTCCAAGCCCTCTACATGTCAGAAAAGATGTCAACTTGATTTTAAGTAACCTGAATATAAGTAGCTTGTCATCTAGTTCCCTTCCCTGTACCAAAGTACTTAGTACAGTAGATTTCTTTCAGGCAGTAGTTCACTCTCTAAGTAATTTTTACCCTTTAGAAAGTGAAATTGCTAAATGGTAACAAAATACAAGATGACATTGAAAGAATGTCGCTTTTAAGTTTTAACCTACAACTTTTTAACCATTTTAACAATAACTGGTTAATTTAGGTGCCAGAGTTCTGATTAGATATTACCGTTGATACTTCAGCAAAGGCAGAGCCAAAAATATCAACTGATACAAAGTTGCCAAATAAAATTTTTAGGAAGAGAAACCATCAAGAAGCTCTGAACTTGAAAATAAAAAATAAAATAATGTTAAGGTCCTAACTGAAAGACAAGAGATGTGGCTTAGAAAAAGCAAGCATAAGTGTTTAAAATTTCATTCAACAAATATTTATGAAATGCCAACTATAAGCCAGATACCATGGGGACAGGTAGATGGTGGTTTTTAAACTGCACCTTACATTACCCCTTGGCCTCTTTCCCTCAAGCATGCTCAGTTCAGTGCCATCCTCTCCATTCTAGATATGTCTGCCTGCAGAAAAGATATAATCTGGTCTTCTCTCCACTTGTGATAAACAGCTTGCCAGCCCCTGTGATGGAAGCCTGTAGTTTACCCAGCTGTGCAAGGGATAGGGAAGATGATTCTAATTCAAGGTGATGTATTAGCAAGCCTATGCTATATATGACCACAGGATCTAAAGCCCCACTCTTTAATCCTTTTTATCAGAAATAAAGGAGAGAGCTGATTCCTGGGTGCTTCACTCCCAACCGTCCCCTCCCTCTGCCGTTTTGGTTTTGAATTTGGTGGGGGGAAAATGGGTATTACTTATTAGGCAACTCTAATCCCAATGAACCCCATGTTGTCAAGCCACTTTAAAAATGTACAACGTGCGCATATTTCACTGGAGTTAAAGTACAGAGAACACATGAAAGAATGACAAGTAGTGATGTGGATTATAGTCAGAGGAGTTTTTTTCTTGCAGTCAATGGGGAACAATTGATGGTTTCTAAGAAAAAAAGTGACAAAAAATTTTAGGTTTCAGAATAATTCCTGCAGTAAATGATCTGCAAATAAAAAGATAATGCTAGGACAATAATTAGAAAGTTACTACAAAAGTCAATGGGATTGGGATTTCCCAGGTAGCACAGTGATTAAGAATCCGCCTGCCAATGCAGGAGACACGGGTTCAAGCCCTGGTCCGGGAAGATCCCACATGCCACGGAGCAACTAAGCCCACGTGCCGCAACCACTGAAGCTTGCACGCCTAGAGCCCGCGCGCCGCCACGAAGAGTAGCCCCTGCTCGACACAGCCAGAGAAAGCCCACACGGAGCAACAAAGACCCAAAGCAGCCAAATACTAATTAATTATTTTAAAAGTCAATGGGATCGATATGGCATTGGCTAAATAAATTATGATATTGCCAAACCACAAAATATTATGCAGCAGTTAAAAAGAATCAGATTCATTATCTTTCTATGCTGACAAAGAACGATCTAAGACACAGGGTTATGTTAAAAAAAAAAAAAAACAAGTTGCAAAACCATGTCTATATTGATAATATCTTACCATTTATATTAAGTGCTCATATTATAATATAGTTTCTACCACTAGAAATATGTATATGCAAATGAATTGAAAAAAGGACAGAAGAACGGCCTAACTAGTAACAGTGTATGTCTCTAGAGGTGACAGTCAAAGACACCTTTAATGTTATTTGTAATTTTCTTTAAGAAAAATGTATTTGAGGGACTTCCCTGGTTGTGCAGTGGTTGGGACTCTGTGCTCCCAGTGTCGGGGGCCCGGGTTTGATCCCTGGTCACGGAACTAGATCCCACATGCATGCCGCAACTAAGGAGCCTGCGATCTGCAACTAGGGAGCCTGCCTGCTGCAACTAAGACCCAGCGCAACCAAATAAATAAATATTTTTTAAAAAAAAGAAAAGAAAAATGTATTTGTGTGTAACTTTTATAATTAAAGACTAATCTTAAGAATCAAGGGGAGAAATTATGAGGGCCTTGCCTCATGTAGTGGAAATGAAAAAATGGAGAGCTGTTGCAGATGAGAGGATGACACACCTGGTAGGATCTACTTCAAAGCTAACATGCTGCCAATCAGAGGATGTGATCACAATCCGTAATAAAGGATCCAGGAGTTTCTGTAGGTAGGTAGCACCATATACCTAAAGAAATACACAAGTAGGAACTTATTATGCCTGCTCCAAATATCTTGCATTAAAGAAGACATTCTGCTCTGTACATAATCACTGTTTGGCATATCTCCGCACCAAAAAAAAAAAAAGATAAATGGATACAAACCTTGAAACAGAAGGTCATTATTTTACTGGCCAAGCTGTTGCCTCGGAAAAGAGTCTGCATGGAGTCTGCCAATTCTACTTCCTTAGAAAACATGTTCCAGAGCAGTTGGTAGAGTAAATGCCGAGAGTCAAATAGAGTCACTAGAACTCGAGCTAGTTCATCCTGAGAACAAAATAAAATTGTGTCAGTGTAAACAGTTCCATTTTTCCTTAAGCAGGAAACTGAAAGGCAAATTCAAAGCTGACAACCACCTGCTGAA